TTCCTGCAGCAGCATGGTGCTGCTGTCCCAGCTGCTAAGCCTGCATTGACATGTCCTAAGCACCCAGTCTGGCCTCCGTCAGGACTGATTCTGGTCACTGTGTATTGTATAGGATCTGATGGATGTTATGTCTGCACAGAACGGTGTCACAGTTCCTCCTGCCCGTGTGCCTCATAGCTGCTGTCTGTGTTGTTCTGCCTTGTGCAGAATGTGGTGCATTTGCTGCTAGATAGCACACAGCCATTCGCAGAAGCCCTCCTCTCGCTTGCTTAAGGCAGTAAATTACTCTTTCTGCGCCTACATAGTTGATTTTTTTCATAACTGAGTAACATTTTGACTTTCTTGGGCTGTGTCATGGTTTACCCTTTAGTTACGAAGGGACATAGGAATAAGCTGCTGAAGCATTTTCCTGCAGGCTTTAGTGTAGATTTACAATTTAAATTCATTTGGAAAAATATCAAAGAAAGTGATTGTTGAATCATAGGAATTAGTTTATCTAGTTCTCAGGAAATTGCCAAACTGTTTCCCATAGTGGTTGGATCATTTTGCATTCCTACCACAAGAGAGGGGAAGAGAAGAAGAGAAGAAAGACGGGTGTGAGAGAACGAAAGGGGGTCCTGCTTCTCCACACCTTCTCTGAGCCACACGTCAGCCACTCTGATCAATGCATCATGCTTGTCTCATGCGGTGCGCTTGAACGCGCTTCCACGTTATCTGTGTTTCTGGTTTGCTGTCCTGTTTGTTCAGGTCTTTTGCCATTTCTTATTTTTTTTTAATTTGATTGTTCATTTTATTACTGAGTTTAAATAATTCTTTATTAATTTTTTGTATTATTTTGGATAACAATCCTTTAACAGATGGTGCTTTTCTCTTCCTTCTAAAGCTGGGTACTGGGAATTGAACCAAGAGCCTCATCCTTGCTAGTCCAGTGTTCGGTTGCCAAACTGCAGCCCCAGCTCAGTTGTACCTTTTGCCAATACTTTTCTCTTTGTTGACAATTTGTCATGATCTTGGCATTGACTTTCTTGGAGTTGGAATTTTTAATTTTAAAGATTTATTTATTTACCTATTTGAGTACTCTAACCGGTGCTGCATAGTTTTTTTCTATATAGGTCTGTATATGTTTTGCCTGTATGTATCACATTTGTGCTTGGTGCCTGCAGAAGTCAGAAGACGGCATTGGATCAATTAGAACTAGAGGCTGTGAGCTGCCTTGTGGATACTGGGAACTGAGCCTGAACCTTTAGCAAGAGCAGCTAGTGCTCTTAACCACGGAGCTGTCTCTCCAGCCCATATATGTAATAAGAAGGCTGTTTGTTGATTCCTGGCTGCTCAGCCCCAAAGTAATCACACAGAAACTGTATTAATTAAATTACTGCTTGGCCCATTAGCTCTAATGTCATATTATCTAACTCTTACATATTAATTTTACCAGTTTTTAATAATTTGTGTATTGCCACCTAGCTGTGACTTACCGGGTAATGTTCTGTCTGGCTCCAGTGGGGCTAGATGGCATCTCTCCAACTCTGCCTTCCTTCTCCCAGCATTCTGTTTAGTTTTCCCGGCCTAGCCGTTTTCTTTTGTCCTATCAACAATCCAAGGCAGTTTCTTTATCTTAATTATACATTACATTTTTAAATGAACTGCACAAACACAATACCTTAATCAAGAGCAGAAATATACATATAATAAAATTGTCCTTAAATTTGTATCAATAAACCAAGATCCATACCAATGCAAATCTTTATAGCATATATATATATGTGTGTGTTATATATATATATATACACACACACAAATACATACATATACACAAATACTTAAATGAATATATATTCATTTATTTCTTTACATTTATTTTAAGTGTTTACTTGTATATGTATGGAAACCTGTGCCCAGAGATCTTGGTTTATATATAGTTCATCTTTTCAGATGCTAGCTTAACTGGCAATGCATTATTAATCTCAAACTCTTGCTGCTGCAATGGATATAACTTTTGCCTTTGGACAGTAACCCACATTTCACCTTGCTGCAGTTTCTTATTAACTCTGGTTTTGTTGGTTGGCTGAGATATTCTCTGTAAATTGCCATGTCACCTGCAAAGATAATCTGATTTCTTCCTTCTAGCCTTAGCATCCTTCCTCATTGTAGGATGTAGACTTTTTGAGAAGCAACAGTAGGAGGAAAGCTTGGCAGAAAAGCTTTGTTACCCTACATTGACACTGATGTACGCACATGGACTTTTGTAAATCTTTGTCAAGTTTATGGATTGTCTTTGTTATCCTCAGTTTGTTGCAGATTTTTTTCGTTTAAACCATGAATGCATGTTGAACTTGGTCAGGTAAATTTTCTTTCCCTGCTTTATTCTTCAGGCTGTGGATGTTGTATACTAATTGGTTTTCAAATGCTGAATGCTACAGCTTGGGTACATTCATCAGGTTGTAGTGTATACAATGGATATTGTCCAACTTAGTTTTTCTCATATTTTGTTGAATTAGGGTTTTTTGTTTGTTTTTGTATTTGTTTATGGGAAAAGTATTTGATTGCAATGTCATTGTCCAAGTAAGAATGTGAGTAATCTTGTGCCCTAGAAGGGATTTAAAAGTTTCCTCAGCTCCCATCTTCCAGAAAAGAATATAGAAAGCTAGCATGATTTCTTCCTAAAAACAGGATATTCTGGCATATTTCAGAGCAGTATTGTTTTCTCCTCCTGTTGAAGCATCGAAAGGTTTTCCTTTGTGGTTTTGCCCTGAGAGGAAACAAAGAAATGCCTGACTTGTAAGCTCCCTTCCCATTGGCCACTGCAGCTGCCATCCCTCCATCACAGTGCAGGTCTCCCTTCTGGGGCCGCTTCCGCAGGGGTTTGTGTTTGCTGCGTTGAGTGGCACCTGTCTTTCTCCTCCACCTGAGGCAGTTTCCCTGTGATCTCACTTCTCTGCATGATACAGTTGTTGGGTGATTACTGTTCTCCTTGTTGCTAAGACCCAGTGACAACTTCTAAGCTCTCTCTGTGGGACGGCACTAGATAATGGTCCGTGTTCATGGAGTGTCTAGCTTCTTAAGCACTGTTCCTTGAATAGGTTGTCTCATCTCCGTTGTCTGATGTTGGAATTCTTGTCAAAAAGCATTGGTCTATTCATTGGAAGGGTTGTGTCTGAGTGGAGTTCAATGTCATTGGTCTGTTCTTTGACTTTATGCCTGCCCTACAGCATTCTTAGGACTTTGGCTTTATATCAAGTTTTGAAATCCAAGTCTGAGTCTGTATTCTGTTCTTTTTCACTGTTGTCTTATTTACCTTGTGCCCCTTTAGATCATTTATGACTTTTTATTTCTGCAGAAGATGCTGGGTTTTCATAGTTACTACACTGACTGTGTAGATGTCTGGGTGCTCATAGCATGTGAACAGCATTCAGACAATAAACATGAGCTGCCTTTCCACTGTTTATGTCTTTATTTCTTTCAATATCATTTTATGGATTTCTTTGTGTAAGTGTTGTGCCTCTGCGATTAAGCTAACCCCTAAGTATTTTTGTTCTTTTTTGATGCTATTCACAAGGGACTTATTTTCTAGATTTCTCTCTGAGATTGTTTCTTGTTAGCATGTGGATACTAAGTTGTGTGTGCATGTGTTTGTATGTGAACTTTACGTGCAGTTACTTTCTTGAACTTTTAACAATTGTTCTCCCACCTTTAGGCTTTTCTTCCTACAGAGTTGTGTCTGTGAGCAGACAGTTTACTCTTTCATCTCCAGTTTGCCTTTGATGTCTTCTTTCCCATCTGAATGACACAAATTTACAATGTCCCATGCGGCTGTTCTTGAGGAAGAGATTCTGGTCTCTCACTGTTCATAATAGAGCCTGCTGTGGCTTCATATATGGCCTCTATTATGAAAAGGTAGATTCAGCCTGTCACCAGTTTGTTCAGTGTATTGTAATTGGATGATGCTGAAATTTGTCAAATACTTTTCTGTATTGATTGAAACGATTGTACCTTTTATTCTCAAATTGTAGTATATTTTGAAATGAAATCCACATGCAAATGGAAATATATCAGAGAAATGAGAGCTTTTTGTTTTTAAAAGCTTTCTAAATTATAAAGGTAAGTCTTGAGGACCTAAAGAAGATGAATGATAGATATGAGTAACATAAAAATTTAAGTAGTAATCATAATACAAAAATAGGACAAAGAAAAAATGTACTGGGGAAGTCCTCGTAGCGTGTTTGTTTCCTGTGACATCTAACAAGAGCCTGAAGGAAAAACACTAATCCAACAGCAAAAGCACATAGTAAATATAAGCAGTTCCTACTCATAATGCACACATAACTGATGGGAGGCAGTGTCTCATGTGCCATTCAGTAGTGAAGGGGAAGCAATGATGGAGCATTGGCCCAGGTAAGCTGGGCAGCCTTTAAGAAGCAGTGTGCAGGGTGAGTCAGTGTGTGTCAACAGAAATGTTCATCCAGTTTGTGGGCAGTAAACAGGTGCATCTGTTTGTCAGTATTTTGTCTTTTGTTTTTGAAATGGCTGTATCTTGATCCATCAGTTTTCATTGAGGTGATTAATCTATAGCAATGTATTGACCAGTGCGTAAGAGGTATCCAGAAGGCATCTATAGCAATGTATTGACCAGTGTGTAAGAGGTATCCAGAAGGCATCTAGATAGATTTGGGTTGATATGGGAAGCTTCTCAAAGCATGTTTAAGAGTTAAAGCAAGAAAGGATAGCTTGTGGGTGGGTGATCACTTGTGACTTATGAATGAAATGTAAACTAGAATTTCAAATGCTGGTGTCTGGGAGGGTGGGCAGGAAATGGCTGATGATGGCACACCCCTTGTCTTGGAGTGTGGGGCTTGGGATGTAGAGTGAACTGGGCTTGCCTGGCCACCCTTTTTGAGTGCTTTAAATTCCTTCAATCACGGGAGTGTACAATTGGAAAATGAACGCCCACATTCTTCCTTTTGGTCCGTGTGCACTAACTGTATTTCTTTTGATTTTTATAGATTTCTCTTGTGCTCTGTTTTGTGTTGATGTTTGGGAACTCGATGTTACTCACATCTTACTATGCATCCTCTTTAGTAATTATTTGGGTAAGTAGTCCTTTAACTGTTTTTAAAAAAACTTTATTTTTGAGAAGTTTGTGAATGTATACAGTGAAGTCTGACCACAGATATTCCCCATGTCTCAGCACATCCCCCCAGCTGCAGGTTTTGGTTTTTTATTCATAGCTCACTATGTTCAGTTAATCTGTCTGGCTCTGCCCGTTTTTGAAACAGTTTCAACTTCTCTATCACTCACTTGGAATGCGTGAGTAGCTTCTGCGGGGTCATATAGAGTGTTTATCAACTTTATCTTTACCCAATGGAGCAGTGAAGTTCTCACTACAAAAGCAGAGAAATTAAGACTCAGTGACATCACCATTGGAAAGCTCAGAGCCTCAGGTCCCTCTGTCCCTAGGTTGCTTTTCCTCCCCTTGCTTTGTTCTTGAGTTCATTGCAGGAGATTTCTGTGCTTTCCTAAGTTTTCTTTTCGTCTTTCCAGTTTCAGTCTAAATCTAAAAGTTGTCTTAAATCCAGACTTTGGTGCACTTTTAGGAAATGACTTTGATTCACAGGCTTTAATATTACAGGGCTGTGCAAACCCCAGTTCCCCCTTCTACCTGTGACACACGCACTCCAGCTGGGTCTGTGTCTTGATAACACACACATTGCACTTCCTCGTCGGAGTGCTTTCTGCCTTTTGAATAGTCGTCACGTGATTCACTTGATTTCCAGAGCCCATTAGTGTGTTTGGAGAGAGTCTTACTTTCCTGTCTCACAGGTAACTACTTTAATATACCCATTTCCAAGACACACACATGCTTTCTCCAGCCTACCTGTAGCTGATGTGTTATTTATTACTCTGTAGCTAAAGTATTTTCAGCCTCAGCCATGGGCTTGCGGTGATACTGTTTGCAGCCCTAAACTCTGAGTTGCCGTCGCTGTGCCATGGGATTAAGATGGACAAATTCTCTAAGATGTTTTTGCCAAGTTTGAAGTCTGCCTCTCCTCCACTGCCCAGGGTCCTGCTGGGGACATCCCCGTGGATACCTGGGGATACCCCTCTAGAGCCAAGTCTTTTGCCAACCCCAAAATGGCTCCCTTAATTAAGATTTCTTCTTCCCTGTTTTTCTTACTGGAGCTTATATAGTTTAGGATTCATGTACCTGGACAGACTTGATTTAACACAGAACTATTCTGTTAGGACAGTAAAATCTCATCACAGAAGTCAAGGAATTTTAAGCTTAAAGGGAATCTTATGCTTTTATGAGCTATTTAAACTTCTGAATTTGTTGTTTACCTCTCGGTTCATCATAGGTAACCTGATATGGAAAATAGAGAAGTAGATCTTGTATATACTGATTTTCTTTTCAATTTTACATTCTCAATGACAATAGATTGTTTTTTAGTGTGTTTTTTTGAGGTATGCTTTGAAATCAATAACTGCATATGTGGACATGGGGTGGCAATTGCGAAAAATCCACAAAACAAAGCAAAGGACATGAATGTGGGAAAGAAACGTGTAGGGAGAAGAGTGGGGACAGAGAGAGACAGGATTGTAGATTAATTAGGATGGACTTCATACATGCGTGAAAATGTCAAAGAACAGATTTAATTAATAAATCAATCATGTGCTGAATTTCATATTTTTCACAGTCTCAGTTATTTAGAACAATTGTTACTTGAGTTTCTGAGTATTCATTTGTGTTCCTATTCAGGGGTTGCTGGCAGTGAAACCACAGTTGCTAAAAATGAATGTATCTGAACCTAGTTTATGGGTAAGAATAAACCTACGTGTTTGCTTCTCTAAAATACAGCATTGGTTTTGTGCTTTACTTTTTAAGGAATTTTATGCACAAGGCAGGGGCCTGTTTACTTTGTAATAAGCATATAAGGGCTCAGTTGAAGTTTTATTTATTACCCCATGTTTCTTCTGAGGGCAGCCATGTGTAACAGCCCCACTGTAGGTGTCGAGCTGGAGTTCTTGTTTCCATCTCTGATAAGACAGAAATACATTTTGCTAGGAAGGTCCTGTTTTCAGTTTTATTTTTAGTTATAATAACCCTTGGTTTTTGAACAATGTGCTTTTAAAAGACATTCCCTTGGGGACTAGATATTGATAACGTGGGAATAAAGCATATGCTTTGTATATTGCTCCAGGCTACAAAAGGTGAAAGTTGTTTATTGATTTATTTATTTTGTAGGTTATCCAAGGGTGTTGTTGGTTATGTGGAACTGTTACACTCAAGTATTTGACTTCCAGAATCTTTGGCATTGCAGATGATGTAAGTGTATTGTTGTTTAAAATGGAAAGGCTTGGAAAGTATCCAATAGGCAGGGAGTAAATTAGTGGAATTATTAGAGTATAATTTCTTAAGCTGTATTTTAAGGTGAAGTAAGTATTATTTTCTCTCTTTAATACAAGAAAGAAAATCACAAAAATGGGATTATGTATATAGTTTTAATCTCCAGAATTAACACAGCCCCCTTTTAGTATATTTCTGTGTCACAAAGATGTAGAAGATGTAAAACAAGCACTCTGGACACTAAGTCCTTACATTTAAGGCCTGTACAGCCATTTTCTGACTTCTTTGTGGTCTCCTTTTAAAACCAACGAGACAGTGTCTTCACCATTAGGGACAGAGATCTACCCCTCCCCATCTTCGCTGTGGTCAGTTCTTGTGGGATGTTTGTCCAGATGCCATTATTCACAGTTAGAGCCAGGTTAGACTTAAGAGATTTTTCTTTGGCTAGGACGGAGACTAAAATGATAACGTTTGTGCTTTATTATCTTAAGACTTCTTCTTATGAATAGTTGCTTTATTTATTTGTTTCTGTGTATGTATGTGTGCATGTGTCTTCATGGTACCTGTGTGGGTGCCTGTAAATGAACAGAACTGGACATGAGCTATCATCTCTCTCTACTTTACTATCTTGAGGCAAGGTCTCTCATGAACCTGAAGCTAGACGGTGGCCAGCAAGCCCTAGTAATTCTCCTGTCTCCCCCTTGGCAATGCTGGGCTGGCTTATAGGCGGGCTAATCTTATGTTTTGGCCTCCCTCAAGCCAGTCCCTGGCCTCACTTTGCTTACTTTATTTTGATGTTGTGATCAGCACATTCTAAGTTAGGTACTTCCAGCAATTATAGTAATGTAAAAGATAATGAAGGCTTTGGTAAGTGATAGTAGAAGTTCAGGATTCTACAGGAGCACACAGGAGGGAACCAGGAAACGACTAGAAGTCATCTGTGCATGTGAGAGGGGAAGAGAGATGGAGCTGGATGCAGAATGTCGGAAGAAAGGGAAGACAATAGCTCTGGTCCAGGTGTGTGGACTCTGCTTCCTTTCTGTTGGGAGACAAACTAATAAGACAGTGATTCAGACTGAAGGCACTATTGACATTTTTGTGCAGCCTAATATTCTAGTGAAATGAAATGACTGTCATGCAGATGTCCACACAAGAGCTGACATCAGCATGCGAACGCCTCTAGGACTGAAGCAGCGAGCAGCACCAGCGGCTCCTGCATTCTGAGTGTGCTGCTGCTAAAGAAGCAGGGGCCAGGCCCCAGCCCTGGAAACGGCTGTGTCTTTCCTTCTCCACTCACTATCTTTTGGGAGGAGCCTGTGTCTGTCCCTTCACCTGCCAGTTCTCTCTAGTCTGAGGAGCTAGCAGCTGTTAGGGTACAAGTATTTGCACTTTGCAAGTTTTATGTAGGTCTCATTTTGTCATGAATGAGATGAATCCTGGAGCTTTCAAAACAAAACAAAGACAAGCAAACAACAAAAACCACTTACCCTTCAAAGGAAAGTCTTCTTAGCAGAGTTTAACAATTTGTCAGGTTGGAATGGCCATGCCTCGCCTGTGATCTTACAGTTTTCCTAAATTAAAGGGACTTACTGAGTGTAGCATGGGGTCAGTGCTTAAGAAGCATTGGTTAGTGTTGCCATGGTTATTGTTGTTGTAACTGATTGTGCACACACACACCACACCATTTTCTTCCTCTGTGGACTCACTGATGGGTACTTAGGTTGCTAGGTTGGTGGATTGTGCTGCAGTGTACTGAGTTGTGAATAAATAACTCTTCATTAGTTAATTTTTAATGGTGGGTCTAGAGATTGCAATACATATCTTTATTTAAAACAATCTTGAGGTTAAATCGGTAGGGTTCAGAGTCTGATTCCTCTTCCTTTGTGCCATTATTGTCATACATTGGCTATCTGTGTTAGTGCCAAGAGCATGAGTTCTGATCATTAATTTATGCGCTCTTATATCTTAAATGAAGACAAAAAGAACAAAGGGGGTTTATATTGCCTTTGTATTTCGCAGCATTTTCCATCCTTTTTACTGCCCTTTCTGTGCTTGAGGAGACTTGTGTACTCTTAACTTATAGGACTCCATTTTCTAATTTTTCATAAGCCAGGTCTCTTAACAGTGGGTTCTGTCCACTGTCATTTCTATTCCAGTGTTTAGGCTATTTGTTGTGGTTTCTCATTTTGCTGGTTGCAGAATTGTTTGTGGACTGTAGTTTCTTTAAAACTTCTGGCCTCTATTATTTCTAAAAAAAAATAAATCAATATTCTTTTATATATATTGATAAAATCACGTCTTTCCTGCCTTCCATGCCCCTTTGCTTGCTCCCTGAAAGTCTACACTGCCTTCTGTTGTGTCAGCTGTGGGTTTGTAGAATACTTGGGCTCTCTTGTGTGCTTTCCAGTCCTCCAGGAGTGTGAAAATGTCCCCATCCCTTAGATGGTTGTCTCCTCTCTAGGTTCTCACTGTAGCATTTACAGCTAGTCTGCCCGTCCTCTGTTCCTGTCACTGGGATTGGAGCCATACTTTGTCACAGGAAGGCTTTCATCTCTCATTTTCCTGCTGGTACTGATGATAGCACAGGTGTTTGTAATCGGCTCAACATCAAGTTTTTGACATTGGGCCCACCACCCCCATGGAGACCCTGCCATTGACCCAGCAAGCTGTAGAATCCGTGATGGTAGACTGGACAGCCTAGGCAGGAGTGCCACACACTCCCATTTCTTCACAGTTCATTTTTATCAGAAAATACAGCGTGGTAGTTGTTAGGCTAGAAGACTGTGATGTGGTTGTTTGTGACACTTTTGTTGTGTTGTAGTTGTCCTGGGGAATTTCTGACCCTCTCTTCCATGTCTCCAAGTTCCCACATTCCCTGACATTTAACCCTGACCCAGTGTTGGACTTCTGAAGCCAATCTCATTTCCTCAATGTATTATTCTGTAGGTGGATTTTCTCGGTGTCCTCGTACCTGCTCCCAAATAATCACTCAGAGACTTGTTATTAGTTATAAATTCTCGACCATTAGCTTAGGCTTGTTTTTAGCTAGCTCTTATAACATCTCATTTCTATTCTTCTGTGTGCTGCCCCGAAGCTCATTACCTCATGTCCACATTTCCCATCCTGATTGTTCTGTGTCTCCTTCTGTCTCCCGAGACTCTGCCCTTCTTCCTCCCAGCATCCTCTGTCTGGCTGCCCCACCTATATCTCCTGGCCAGCTACCAGCCAGTCAGCCCTTTTATTAAACCAATCAGAAGGTGCCTTGGCAAAGGCACATCTTCACAGTGTCCCAAAATATTATTCCATAATCTTGTTCTTTCTTAATAGTGCTGAGTTTGGTTGGCTAGTATTTTAAGGATATTTACCTCTAATCATGAAAAGTGATAATCATAGTTTTCCTTACTTATCATGATTTTGTCTTCAGGACAGTGGTAACTTCCTGTATTTGTGAAGATGAGTTCAGTCTCCTACTTTGAGAGAGCATTTGAATAGAACTGACATTTCCCCATAAATGTAGGCAGAGAGCGGCACTGACGCCTACAGCACTCGGGAGTTCAGTGTGAGGAGGGTTTCAGTCCTAACCCGACTTCCTTAGGAACTTAGCCATCTGGCTAGAGCTTTGAAGGGTGTGCTCAGGGCTGCTTTGCACATTCTTTGTTTGCAACCGAGTGGCACATGCTTTTAGAATTGCACATGTAAGTTTTATATATGTACATATATTGGGAATGGCCTTTTATTGTTAAACAATTAAGTTTTCAACTTTTCTAACTTGACAGGTAACATTGTATGTGTGTAGCATGTACAGCGTCATGTGGGGAAGCTTTCATGCATGGTGGAATGCTAGAAAGCAGCCTTTCCTCAGATAACTTCGTAGTTATTGTTTTGCTATTGTTTTGTGGTTGGAGCTCTTCACATCCATTCTCTTCATTTGGCGGTGGAATGCAGAGGGGTCAGCGGTGGCAGTCACCTGACGTGCAGTAGGTCTGCTGGTTATGCTTGCCTAACCGTAGCCAGGTGTCCTCCCACCACCTCCCTCACTTCGTCCTCCCCCACCCCCTTTTTAGCCACTCTTCTTTTGAGAGGAATTTTATAGAGTCCATTTGTAAGATCGAGCACGTAGGAAAACGTGTGACCCTTTTGCTTTTACCGCTCTTATCTTCTGGTAAATTTGTCTTAATTATTCCTGAAAGTAGTGCTTTTTGTATACCTTATAAATTTGCTTTTTGTGACTTTCTGCGTGATCTAAAGGTTATTGAATTTTGGCCTATTTAGTTTCCAGTCAGAAGAATGCCAAAGTCATTCCCAGATATTTTCTAGTTTTACTGCTTTTATGATTAAAAAATATTTATATGAAATTTCAACATGCTGTTATGACATGCTATATATAAATGCTTAATTTTTTACTGTGATTAAAGAAAATGTGTATGTTCTTCCTGTAAAGTTTATTGTTTTTCTTTATGGACTAATTAATTATATTATGCTAATTTATGTTGAATCTTATCTTCTCTTGCTCCTCTGCTGCTGTCAGATTCATGGACACACACGTGAATCTGTGGTAGTCCACATGCAGGATGTTTTGCTTTGCTCTTCACTCAGCAGCACATAGTATTGTCTTCTCACAGGTTTTCCTGAACCTCTGTGTGGTTTTTGTCTTAAATTTTATATTTTGTTTGTGTGTTTTGGGGAAGTGGCAGGGGTGGGGGGGGATTCTTTCTTTCCACTGTGGTCTAGGACCACACTCTTTCATCAGTTTGCATGGCAAATTCCTTCTCCTGTATCTCCCCAGCCCTTGAACTTAGTTCTGTCATATGCCATGGCTGCTACCCTAGGTTTTTGTTTCAAACTTATGTTGTTTATTTTCTTTTATGCTTTGGTGTGGTTTATCTTTTGTAGACAACATAATATTGTATTTGTTCCCTTAAGTCAGTTTGAGCATCTGCCATTTAATTAGATAATTTAAGCTCTTTGTGTAAATGGCAGTTGCCTTTTGGTAGGAAATTTTTCTTCGTTTTATTTGGGATTTGTTTCCTTGGGCTGTTTCAGGGACCACATAACCACCCCTCTGGCTTCCTAAGTGTATCTGCCTGCCTCTTCTCTCCGCCAGCTTGTGCTTCATCACAGCCCCCCATCCCTTCTGCTCCACTCTCACAAGCTCCTGTGGGCTGAGGCCATAGGCAAAATCGCCTCTTCTCCTAGGCTTTGCTGTTTTCGATAATGGTTAACTTGAACGTTTGGTGAACACCTTATGTCCTCAAGGCTTCGTTTCTCGTTTGTAAAGTGGGACTACACACAAGCCCTTGCCGACTGTCTGTCAGAAGGTGCCTTTTATGCCAGCTCCTCCCATGCCTGCTTTACTTCAAACCTGGCTTCCTATGTGGTTGTCAGAAATCTTAAAAGTTCCTAGGCTCATTCCTCCTGGAGGAGAGCAAGGTGGGGCTGGGGAAATTGTTTTTTTTTTTTTCCAGGTTTAGCAGCACGAGTAGAAAAACTCAGGGGTAAATGCCTTGGGCATCAAGTGGGCGGTAGTAGACATTGGTAGGACGCTTTGGGAGCTGTCACTTGCTGGCAGAACAGGGGATGCAGCTGTGAGGTTGGAGGAAGAGAACAGAACTTTCTTTAACATAAAAGCCCAGATTTGGAACAATGGACTTTTTCATACAGTGAAAACTATTTTTAGATACTGTTAAGATTAAAATGCAATGCATAATTGTGATGTTTGGTTTAATATAATGATTCCTGACTTGATTTCTTTCTAGGCTCATATTGGGAACTTACTAACATCAAAATTCTTTAGTTACAAGGATTTTGATACCTTACTGTATACTTGTGCAGCAGAGTTTGACTTCATGGAAAGGGAGGTAAGCTCTGATTTCCAGTGCTGTTCCCTGGGCTTCACCCCTTTTCTTTTTCATAAAGCATGCCTTGCTGTTTCAGGTCCACACTCAGCTTAGAGGAAGAAGTCTAGCAGCTTAATGCAAGCCTTCCCATTTTGTATTTATTTATGACCCTTTTGGAAATATGCATTCAGAATACCCCAGTGCTTGGCTGAGTGAACACAAGCATTTCCAAGCCTCTTTTCAGAGATGGCATCACATGGTTCGGTCAGGCTCTCAGCTCGCACGCTTCCCCTTACTGTGTGGATATTTGAACAATCTCAATGCATTTAAATATCATTAAGCACAAGTTTTTCATAGCTGACATTTCTCTTTTGAAAATTTGATTCAGATATTTGATGTTTATGGGAAAGCCTAAGAGTGGGTAGTGGTTTGTGGAACAACATCTTGCAGTGGGAATGAATGGTCTTGAACGAACACATCTTATTCGTGTGAAGATAAAATGAGATTTCACATACTAAAGTACTTTGATCTCTTAAGTGAAATATTATTTCAATACTTTTTGAGGTAGTTTGTTTCAACAAGCATGTTTATATTAGCCTCAGAAGTACCATCCATGTTGAATTCCTTTATTGCTGTTTACACGTGATACATTTTCCTCTAAGGCTATATCTGTAGGAATGCACTAAACTGACCATTACTTTATTGACGTATTCATCGCTCCAGTACTCCCACTCTGGTTATTCTATGTCCCGAGTGCCAGGCCAGCAGCCTTCAGTGTAGACTTATCTGTTCTTAGTCAAGTGTATCTTGATGACTCCACCTGCATCTTGGCCTTCATTTATCCTATTTATGCTATTGATTCATAATAGCTGATAAAAACTATACAAATGATAGTGAGAAAAATTAAAGGAAAAATGTCTTCAGATACTGGTTTAGAGGAAATCTAGACTCGTTCATGAAACTGGTAACAAAAATAGAGGTGAAGATGAGCAGAGAACTGATGTGTTGTAGGCGGCCTGAAGACTACAGAGATCATCATGCATACATCTGTAACCCACGAGTGGTCGTTGCCCGTCTAGTGAGATATATTGTGTACTGAGGCATGGCGCCACTCCATTCAGCTTAAACAGAGAGTCAGGCTCTTGTATATATTCCTGTCTCCGTGTGTGTCTGCATTTAGGGACAGTGCTGCCAGGCAGCTGAGTGTCTGTCACTTGAGGGAGTATAACACAGTTCTAAACCGACCTGGAAAGATGCTTAGCATGTGTACTGGAGTAAAGAAGAAGACCTTACCTGTGATTGACTCTCAAAAGTGAAAGAGCAACATCCTGACCGGGCCTCGAGTAGGACACAATTGAGAAGTTCACGGACTGTGTTACTGAATACATTTCTATAAATTTATCTGCTGATGCAATGTACAAATTAGCTTTGTTACCTTTATAGACAGTGGTCATTATTCAGTGTATATTTGTGTGTTAGAAAAAGAAATGCAGTGGCTAAGAATATACATAAAATGTATAAGGTAGCTTCTTCCCTGTAAATAATCACTGTGTGCTTGGGATGAATAGTGAGGTCTTCAGTTAGACAAATAGTATGTGAAGAGAAGTATCTATAGTTGTCTTTCACGCGAGTTTTGCAAACTGTATTTTTAGTGTTTTCAACTCAGCATTGGTGAAATGTGTTTCTATGGAAACGTGCTTTAGTTTCAGTGATGGGAGTCAGTGGATAGGTTGGCCTCTTTCGTTGATGAATGTTTGTATTTCTCTACTTATGCTTCTAGAAATCCACCCATTTCATCATTTGAAAAGAGGTTTTGTTTGACTAAAACATTTCCTTCTAACACATACCCTTCCATTTTAGACTCCGCTGAGATACACGAAGACACTGCTGCTTCCTGTTGTTCTCATCGTGTTTGCTGCGATCGTCAGGAAGGTGCGCGTGCCACAGGGTGTTCTCCTAGTTAAACCTGCTCTTGTTTTTGTGTAGTAGTTACAAACATTTGGCTACACAATAATAGGATAGTTTTGTACTGAGGTTTTGAAACATTCTGTATTTTCTTACTGATGGGTGCTTACAGATCTTAAAGATGTTCTGCTAGCCTGAAAGAGATCCAGGAAAGAACAGTTTAGGCTCTGATCATGCATTTTAGAAGTCATGTCTATTATTGACTGGATTTTAATGTTGAGTACTATTTCTAAATATTTAATATTTAACTTTTATATGATATATGAGCAGTTTTCTGTTATTTTTGAATGAGATTTATTATTAATAAAAAAGAGGAATTGGGAAAGTGCAGGGTATTGATGAAGTGGATAACATGTTTAGGCTCCAAGTTTCCTTTAATAATGAAATTCTAAACCCTTGTGTAAACTAGGCCTGAGAAATACCAGTCTTCTATGAAGAAAAGCTGGCGTGAAACTGTTTCTTAAGCAGCTTGTGAAGGCTTTAACTACATGAGACCTAAGAGATGAGATTAGCGTGCTATCAACGAAGAGATGCCAAAGCCTCTCAATGTATTGATCTCTAGTGATTTGTGCTGACACAGTGTATTTATCTGTGGGGTATTCTGTTCTGTGATTACTGTTCACACTGTATTTGTACTGCTCTTCGTACTCCCCCATAGCATATCTGCATGTGTCACTCAGGCAGTTACCCGTGGAGTACCAGACACTGTCTTGGAAGCTGAAGGAAGTTAGTAGCCCCCTTTGTGCCCATTGTCACACTAGACTCTGGCTAGCCCCTCCTGCAGACACCTGCTGGCACTCAGCTTTGGACTCTGCATGTTTCGGCTTCTGTCACTATACTCAGTTTTGTTGTGTGCCAGGTTCTGCACCCCATCTACACTTGGGATGCCCTGTGATTCATATATAATTATCTTCAAAAATGACCAGATACTGACCATCAAGAACCTGTTCAAAGACTGCAGTGACCAGGCATGATAGCTTCCACCTTTAATCTTTGCACCTAGGAGGCAGAGGCAGGTGGATATCTGTGGTTTCTAGATTGTTCTGGTCTGTGTACTGAGTTCTAGGCCAGCTAGATGAGACTACTAAGATGAGAGTCTGCTCAGTAAAACAAAACAAACAAAAAACCCTGCAGCTTTGCTGGCATGATATGATGAAATTATAGTAGGTCAGATGAATGAAGCCACAATGTTTAGTTTGACGAGCAAATGATTCGGATAGAAACTGGGTAATTATTTTCAAATATTTAAAAGCCCACCATTTCAAACTATGACTATGTTCCTTTTGGTACCTTGGAAATATGATCGTTGATAAGATTTTTGACCTGAAATGCTAAGACCAATCAGGAGAGTATTAGAGCCTGGGCAGCAGCCCAGTGGTTCCCTCAAGGGTTTAACTAGGGCGTGTGCAAGCTGCTGTGTCTGAGTTACTTCTACAGTTCTGTGTCTGATTCAGGGAGGCAGTTCCACCACCTCCATGTTGGGGACGGAGCAGGCGCGTCAGGGCCAGCAATGCTTCCCAATGTTTGTCCCCTCAAGGTCATTTCATCCTTCGGAACCTATTGCCCTCATCCTCAATGGGGTATTGTAATTTTCCTAACAAGATGCTTAAAGTGTCACCATCAAAAACTGTGGTAGTACAGATAATGTTGAAATTATTATTTTCTGAGTTGTCTCTTATCTCCATACTTCTTACATTTATATTAAGAGTCTTGATGTCTGTTTTCTTTGTAACAGCTTTTCTAAAGTCTTTAAAATCCATTTTCAGATTATTAGTGATATTTGGGGTGTCATAGCTAAACAACAGACACATCTAAGGTAAATATGCACTTAATTTTCTTACTTCCATTTATTGACTGTTTATTGTAGTATTTACTTGTGTGCTTACATGTTTTACCCTTCATACGTGGGTGTTTTCCATTGGCACCATTCCCCTTCCTCTCTATGTGCACTCGTCAGAGCTCACCCAGAGAAGTCTGACCGTGACACCCACATCCTCTTTCCTAGGGGGACATGACTTTGCCAGTTTAGCAGAGAAAATTGATTATTCTGTATGGAGGCCAATAGAGTCCCATATTTGAGAAATAAACAGGGAAATATAAAACTAGATCCATTCCTCATTTTTTTTAAAATCAACTTCCCTACGAAGCAATTTTGAAACATAAGTAACCAAATGTACCTAGAAATTGACAAAGAGAGTGTACTTGTAATTAAAGAGGTGACAGGTCTTTTCAGCAGGATCCAGCACTTATATACTGGCAAGGTTGACGTCATCAACCAGAAGTACTTGTTTGATAGACGTTGCTAGAAGCATTATGAAAGAGAAAAGACAGTTACAGCAAATATGCATGATATGTTACTCAGGATTCATGACTGCCAAGGACATATAAAGACCTAGAAAAATTAATAGGAAAGTGTTCAGACACACTAGAAAATGAATAGAAGACACAGAAAAGGGAACCAAAAGAAGTGTAAATTTACCTTTTCCCTCTCCACCACATTTATGCCCCTAGGAGCTTCTTGTGCACTTTAACCATGGTAAGTTGTCCCTGACTCTGGGGTTTGCAGGAGTTGAACCCTTTGCCCATAATTGGTTTCCTGCAGTCCCTGCAGCCTGGCTCTTTTCATAGCCAATGGGAAAGAATAGTAGTTGAAAGGGTGAGTATTTACATCTGACACCTAGAGGCTCAGAAAGACCTGCAGTGTTGGTGATGGAGACATTTTGAGCAAAATGAAAGTCTTTCTACTTACCAGATTAGTAATGATTGCTAATGTCCAGTGCTTGCATAGCTGGGAGAAATGAGCTATAGTTGGCTGTGGCAGGAAGCTATACAGTGCACCTGCTCTCCAAGTCAGCAGTTCCCCGAGTACAGCTACATGCTATGGAAGTGTTCACATGAGTGGAGACAGTGGTCAAAGGATGCTTAGCGTGGTGTTACATGTTATGGGGAAAGTTAGCACGGTCAAAATATGTATTAGTACAGAATGACAGAATGAAATTATGGTCCAGGTATAAAGTGAAGTGTTTTACCATCATTATGAGAGTATTCCATCATATATCATTGTTCTTTTTTCAAAAGCCAAACAATATACATATATGACAGCTATACTGTTAAGCTGTGTGTATGTGTGCACGCACGTGCACGTGCATTTTCTTTTATCACTTGAGTATCCTCCCCTTTCCACCATTCCCTTAGCTCCAGAGCTCTGCTAACACACGGGAGAGTCTTTTGTGTCATTTAAAAATAGTTGGCTATAACTGTGCCTTGCTTGTCCCTGCGTGGCTAGGCGGGAAAGGGGAAATGTTTCTAGTATAGAATGTCAAAATGTCTATTCATCTGAGGTAATTTTTTAGAAGCGTTTATAGAAGCCTCAAAGTTAGAACCATAATGTACATCTCTGGAAAAGGAAAGTAAAACTGTTCATAGAAAACTAGAACTGCTTCACGAAGAATAGCTTTACTACAGAGGGAATTGCAGAAAACCTAAGCTTCGTGGGTTTTCAGTTCAGTAGGGTTGAAGCTCTCTTGTAGAAAAGGGAATGGCATGTTGACATTTCATTTTGCATGAGAACAAAAGTCATGCCATTATAAAATAGAGCAGGGCAGAGAAAGAGGTACGTTTTAATTTGAATGTGATCACCATTAAGTGTTCTGTTCAAGTCCCTGAAGATAGAGGAGAGTAGCCGTGGCCTATGGAAAAACTGCCTCAGCCTGGAGGTCATCCTGGGTGCAGGCTTGGCTTCCTTGCCATCTGTGGGGCGACTGTAGCCTGTTAATACTGTGGGGGTGCTCAGGAAATGGAGAGTGAGTTTTTGCTTGGAATGAATGAAGAAGGGACATTCCACCTCTTCACACTTGACCAGTGCATTTGTTGAAATCTTTGCATCCACATCTTTTGAGACTAGATTCCCAAGTGAGGCTGTATTCTGCCTAGGCTGAGGAGGATGATCACTGGTACAGATGTCCATCTGTGTTCAAGCTTTGGGAGCAGCTCTGAGTTCTCTCTGTCAGAAAGTTTCCAGTCCTGTCTTTCCTATCAGACCCCTCCATCCCTCAGCGTCTTGTCTTAGAAACCGTAAGCTTTGGTTCTGCTCGTAGGTCCATATCCTAACAGTATGCAGATCTTGTCACTATATTTAGAATTCTATCCAGACTTTGGTTATCTCTTCCCACACTTCCCTCCCTATCACCATTGCCTCCCTAGATGACTGCCTTCTGAATGCCTCCCTGACTCTGCCTCTAACCCCTCACCTCACATCTCTTAATCTTTGTCTTCTCTCCTCGCCAAGCACCCTGTCTTCACGGCTGGCCCAGCAGAACCTCCCTACGCTGGACTTTTTGATCTGTCTGCTTTTTGCCCACTGGGCCCCTCGGTCTCTCCCACATCAGAGCCCACTCAGATATCACTCAGGGGTGATGAGCCTACGGAGCAGGTGCCTCTCTGGGCGCTCATGTCTGCGTGTTCTCTACAGTTCTGCTCACTGTGAGACAGAGTCTTATCCCCACCCCTTGTTTTCCCTTTGACTTATATGTAAACTGAGAGGATAAGGATTGTTTTGTTTTGTTTTGTCGCCCCTCTATCTCCTGAGTGTTCGGTACTCAAGGAACTTGAATAGGTGGATGGATAGATCCATACCCTGGTCTCTTGTGGGTCTCATTTTAATGGGGAAGGGCAAGTGTGGTGATCTGCAAAATACAAGTGTAAATTCTGTCTCCTCTGAGAAGGGCAATGGGATAGGTATGACCATGGGATGGGCACTGGTGTAGGATACAACCTCTCCTGGTGGCTTGAAGGGTCAGTTAGCCTGTGACCAGGTCACTGTGATCAGGAGAGAACAAGGAAGAGGTAGCTGTGTGGGGAGAGAAGTAGGGCCCTGGAGGAGCGCTGCAGATGATGAATTGAGAGCTAGCATTGGGGAGGGACCTCATCCGTTTTAGACTTTGAAGCAAAGGAGTAGGTGGCTGACTGGCCCTTTCTGTAGCTGCTTTTCTTGCTACCGTGGGAATTGATGATGGGCAGGGAAAGATGAGGGTGGGACTTGTCAGTCTCTAAGCACATATCCAGGAAAAAAAAAAAAAGGAGAACGTTCAAGCAAAGCCAAGATTTGTTGTCTGCCTGAGAAGACTGGGCATGCGACTATCATGGCCCTGCCATCTCTGGTGCAGCACTAGCACAAAGAGCTCAGGATTCACCAAAGGATAAAGCAGGTGCATGGGCTGAGTCTGAGGAGAATCCTTCACTTAACGCCTCAAGTGAGCTGCTGTGTATACCATATGATTATTGCCATAGTAAATGTGTACCCAGTTAGACATACATTGTCATTTTCAAATAAACTGTCTTACTTGGCTGTATACTATACTAGTATTGGGATAAAACTTTTAGTTATTTTGATTTACTTATATATGTGTGGGAGAAATATCATAGAAGTTGTTAAAATGTGTAGATAAATACAAATAAAGGGAGTGAGTGCCTCAGTAATGAGTCGGTTTTTTTCCCATTTCAGAAAACACCAATTTGATCACGGAGAGGTAAATATTTAACATTACTAAGACTTATTTTTATATATATTTAGACTTTGTTTTGCAGAGCTAGTATCTAGGTTTATTGGCATTTATCATTAATTTATCTTACTTTTTTTGTGGGAATGTTATAGGCTAATTGGGTACCTCTTTTGCTGAAATGATAGAGACTTTGGTCTGTGAGTAAGCCTTACAATAATAGCAGTTTCTGGAGCCCAGTGAGGCACAAGCACGAGGTGTCCTTGCTTGGTGGAGTGACACATTTTTTCCACCCAGCTTGTCCTGAAGCTTCAGAGGTGTGGCTGTCTCCTGTTCTCACCTTCCTGAGTTGAGCAGCTTCCACACAGTCCAGGACAGAGTACTGTGGCTGAGTGGCAGTGACCTTCATTCCCCTGACCACTTCCGTGCCTTGGTCTGATGGCAGAAACAAGGTGGATCCAGAAATCCGGCTGTATTAACTGCAGGCTGGACTATGAGCACAGTTGCACAAATGCCTGACTCAGTGGCTCGCAATCCAGGTTGTTAAAATGGTGCCACCTGCAAGCACATTTTAACAGTGTCCTATGCCCATAGATTGAGGCAGGTCTCAATTCTCACCAAAGTGCAGAGACTAAATATCAGGAGAGTGCTCAGCCCTTCATGTGGTGTCTGTATGGCCCTTCCCCCTACCAAGCCCAGCTCCCAAGATGGGGGATAGGGATGTAAGATTCAGGGGTCAAGGAGGACTGGACCTGCTTCTGGAGACGATAGGACTGTCACATTCATGACCTCACAGCAGCATGGTCACCTGCACAAAACAGTCTTCAGTCTGCATTCTTGCACGGACTGGTGGGGCTTATGAGCCTTCACCCCAACTGAGGAGCTATTGACAGTTGGTGGTTTTTAAGGGAGAGAGGATCAGTTTTCTTTAAAGATTTAATAGGTCCACAGTACTCCAGTGGATGGTCTCCAACCCATGAGGGGGTGGAGGAGAGAGGGGAAGGGGAGGATGTGTGTATGTATGGGAAGCATAAATGGACTATGGGTTTTTTGTTGTTGTTGTTTGTTTATTTAAAGGAGAACACAAAGTTAAGGTATGGAGAGTTTGGTTATGTAGATGAAAGGACCTAGGGGAAATATCGAGAATGATTGTGTTCAAAATACTTTCTTTGAAATTCTCAAAGAATTAATAAAGATATCACATAGGAAGAATCATTTAAGAAACCATTTCTGCGTGTCCAGATTAACTGTATGTTCCTAATTTGGCAAGTGGTAGAAATGAGCCCTTGTCTTCCCTCCCTTCAGTTGGTTTACCACGCTCTGCAACTGTTGGCATACACAGCCCTCGGGGTTCTGATCATGAGACTGAAGCTCTTCCTGACTCCACACATGTGTGTCATGGCATCCTTGATCTGCTCCAGACAGGTAACGTGTGGTGATGGTGAGTTCTAGCCCAGCCTTAGCTACTCAGGTCCCCAGAGAGTGCTGGCCGAAGGGCTTCTGTAGCTCCCGACCCCCTTGAGCTCTCTGGTTCTGTCGCAGCTTCCTGACCTAATGGCCAAGCTGCTCATGTCGGCTCTTCTCCCTGTGACACGGTCTTTGGCCAACAAGTGCACATCAGTGCGGCCTGGCTTCGTCCGTTCTCACTGCAGCTCAACTCTAGGGAGTTTTTAAATCTTTATATCACAGAATTTCTAAAACTGGATTTCAAGTTATGTTTCAAATTATATTGTTTTATTCAGAATCAAGTTTTAGAATGTTTTTTGTTGTGTATACATTTGTATGGACGTACCTGATTTTGCTCTGAAGTTTAATCATCCTTGACTATTCCGTGTGTAATTCACTATTTGTCATATAATTGTGGGTAGAGATGTTTGTTCCTTGGTGGTGCTGCTGTCCCATCAGTCAGTCAGCAAAGGGGCGGTACAGAAGCATCAGCTATGTTACCTGCAACGAGCGTTTACTCAGCGCCAGCTCAGAAAAATCAAACTGTGTGTCTGCTCCCCAGAAGCTTGAGATGCCTGAGGAAAGGGCAGTGGGCAGCGCAGTTGCTTATTGTGCATTGCTTTGTGGGCTCCAGGCTCCCATCACCAAGTGTGACCTGTTAGAGAGGGCCCAGCTCCCTCATTGTCCTCCCTTAAGGGTGGGTTGGGACAGGAAAGGAAGTTGGTGGCAGGTCCTCCATCTTGACTCCCATCACACTAATGGAACAGGTAGCAATCTCTGCACCATGTTCCAAACTTAGGACTCTGCACTGGCTTAAGCTTCCTCCTGCTGTGGTGCTGGAGACCAAACGCAGGCTCCTGAGCTGTGTCTCTGGCCTGTCCTGGAACGCACTTATAAACGGGCGCTCATTTTTCTTTGACTGGACCTTGTAAATGAAGCAGGTGACCTGGCTCTTCTGCAGTGTTTCTGAAGCTGTGTCCCTCTTGGGTAGAATTGTTCAGATGCTGAAGCAAGATGATGCAGGGGGTAAAGGTGTTGACGCCAGCACAGTGGCCTGAGCTCAGTCCCAGGAATTCACCTAAGGTGGAAGGAGAGAATTGACTCCATAGAGGTTGTTTTCTAACCTCGGGCCCCTCCCACAGCCATGATCATAGCATTATATTTTAAACAGTCCGTCCGTGGGACCACAGCAGAGGTTGACTTCTTCCTCAGGATGGATTTCTTACTGGAACACACTGCTTTGCACTGCCAGTGACCAGTGTTTCTCTTTAATTTCAGCTCTTTGGGTGGCTCTTTGGCAAAGTTCACCCTGGTACTGTTGTGTTCGCTGTGTTAGCAGCAATGTCGATTCAAGGTTCAGCAAACCTACAAACCCAGTGGAACATTGTAGGGGAGTTCAGCAATTTACCTCAAGAAGAGCTCATAGAATGGATCAGATACAGCACAAAGCCAGGTAAAAAGAACAAGAGCACCCTGTTGCTTTTGATCTCGCTAGGATTCTTTTTCCTCCATAATTTTAGTCACCACAAAATCCTCCCCGGGATTTAAAGGAGCTGTCACTACTGGCTATATGACTTGCAGGGATGCTGTATAACCTTAGTAATTTATTTTGCCCTTTCCAGAAATTTAAATCTATAAAAGTTTTCCAAAGTTATTTAGCATAATTTTGTTATGTTTCCTTCCTTAATATAATTTCAATATTAGCCTTCCCATTCCCTCTTGCTGTTTAATCCATGTGTCCCTATGGAAACTTATTGTCCCAGTATGAAGTGATTGACTCTTAAAGTGTCTTTCAAACTTTTCAGTCAGTTGGATACTGTTATCCAATGTACTAGAAAAGGAAAGGGAAAGAAAGGGAAGGTGCTGAGCGCACCTCAGTGCTGATAACGTGTTCCCCAAGCCTGGCTGCAGATCTGTACTCTGTCAGCCTCCTGGTTTCATTCTGCTGCTGGTGTTGAATCTTTAACATATGAACCTCCCTGGGCCCCAGCCAGCTGTATTATGTGCAAAATATTTTTGCTACCCTGATGGAAACCCCTGCTGGTGCTGCCCAGTGTGATGCTGAGACCATGCCATTGCTTCCAGATGCAGTGTTTGCAGGCGCCATGCCCACCATGGCAAGTGTGAAACTCTCTGCTCTCCGGCCTGTGGTGAACCACCCACATTATGAAGATGCAGGTCTGAGGTTAGTGCACAGGTGCATGGGGAAAGGGCTTCATCCAGATAGTGAGTGAGGAACCCACCAAAGCGGAGTGCTTCACAGCAGACAGGGTCAACAGGGTCATTTCAGAGTTGTTCATGGGGAGGGAAGAAGATGCTGAAATCAGACAGCTGGGCTAAAGCCCTTGAGGCCCCAGTAAAGCTGTTGTCTTTGTGCTGTTTCCTATTCAGCAGAAAGAAAAGCAATCTGAGCAGTTGTCCAAGAAAGCCAGGCCCCCTCATGCCATCCTCCGCTTTGTCTGACACTCCGGTGTGAGGCTTTTAGTGACGCTGACTCCGTACAGGCTTTTCTCTTGAAATCTGAGGAGTCCGCTGGAGGAGTCATTCGGTGGGGTTTCTGCTCTGCTGTCATGAAGCTGTTTGCTGTGATGAGTTTAGATATTTTTTGATGGCATAAGGCTTGTTTTTCCCATAAATGATGCCTTGTATCCTCCTAGAAGAGGTGAAGATTTAATGTCAATATACTTTATAGAGGAGATAAAGTATTCATTTTCCAAATAATCAGATGGATGCTATTAGTACAGTGCTTTGTGTAATGATGGGATATACATTTTATAAATAAAATGCTTTTCATTCAAAAATCAATTTCAGTGAACTAATTTCCAAAGCAACTTCACAGAGTGAGAGTTTCTTAAATGTAGAAGTCAAGTGGGATTTGTGGGCTGAGCTCTTGCCCCTCTCCAGCAGTACTGGCGTGTTGGCTCTCAGCCCTGTCTGCTGACAATTGGAAACAGGTGAATCACAAGGAGACTGAGTTGGAAATGTGACTTGCATTAGAGACTATGTCTGCCTTCCAGTTGTAATCTCACCCTGGCTTCTCCAAGGTGCTGGCTCCCTCCTGCTCTGGAGTGCGCTTGTTCCCACCCCTTCCTTGCTTCCCGATAATGTTGATTGTATCCTTTTAATCTTGAAAAAATTTTGCCTACTTATTTTTTTCTTGAAGAGCCAGAACAAAAATTGTGTATTCGATGTATAGCCGAAAAGCAGCTGAGGATGTGAAGAAGGAATTGATGAAATTAAAAGTGAATTACTACATTCTAGAAGAGTCATGGTGTACAAGAAGATCCAAGTGAGTATTTCATACAATTAATAGCTTATAATCAAAAGAGTGAAAAGTTAGTGTAGGCTCATAGTAAGAGTTCTGTTAGTAGTGCGTGGTATAATACATGTCAAATAAAACATTTCAAAAAGTATGAGTCAAAATCCTATACATAATTATTTTAATTAGACCTTTTTACTCATTTTACAAATATACTTTTAAAAAGTGATATGCATGTGTATGTTGCCTTAAACTAAAAATACCCATTTTTAAATAGGTAATTGTAGATGAGTTTTTATAAACTTACATTTTCAAAGAACACTACCCTTGATTCTAACTAGAATAAAGTTAAAGTACTTCTATTGAAGAGGACGTATGCCGGCTCTCACTGGTGTTTTTTCTTTTGATAACAGACGTTACTCTGTTGTTCATCGTGGCCCAGAACTGTCCTTAACTGATGTTTCTAATTTTGCCTTCTGGGGATGCAGGGTTAATGGACACACCCCTGTGTCCTGCATTACAAATGCCCTTGGAAGATGGTACTGGTCACTGGGGGACTTGCAAATAAAAGCATAGGTGCTACAGAGGCGGATGGGGCTCATAAGCCAGCTCTGCCCCTTCACTTTTCTCTAGGATGCTGATCTCTGGAAAACCAGAGTAGGATTTGAACTCTTCGTTGTCATGTTCTCCTCTGCCCCGAGGGTGGTAACAGTTCAGCTTTGATGTGTGCGTGAGCTTAAGGGGGAAACCAAAATCCCAGCCTTATTGTTCTAGGTCCGTGGTTCTCAACTTAGCTAATGCTGCTACCTTTTAGTAGAGTTCCTCTTGTTGTGATGACCCAACCGTAAAATTATTTCGTTGTTACTTCGTGGGTATAATTTTACTACTATTAAGAAATATAATATAAATATCTGTGTTTTCTGATGGTCTTAGGTGACCCTGTGAAGTAGTCATTCAATAGCCCCCATAGGGTTATGACACTCATAGGTTGAGAAGCGCTGTTCTAGGTGTTCAGCTCTGTAGCATCCGTTTTTGTTTTGTTTTGTTTTGTTTTTATATTTTATTTATTTTTTTTAAAGAGAACAAACTATCTCTTTTCATTTTACATACCAATCCCAGTTCCCATTCCCTCCCCTCCTCCCATTTCTTCTACCCCACCCCCGCCCACTCCTCAGAGAGGGTAAGGCAGATTGCTTTGGGGAAGGTCCAAGGCCCTCCCTACTGTATTTAGGCTGTGCAAGGTATTCATCCAAAGAGAATAAGTTCCCAAAAATCCAGTACAAGCAGTGCACATAAATCCTGGTGCCACTGCCAGTGGCCCTGTACTCTGCCCCAGCCGTTACAGATGTCAGCCACATTCAGGGAAACTAGTTTGGACCTATACTGTTTCTTTCTTAGTCTGGCTGAAGTTGGTGAGCTCCTATTAGCTCAGGTAGACTGTCTCAGTGGGTGTGCCCATCATGGTCTTGACCTCTTTGCTCATATTCTGTCCTCCTGCTCTTCATCTGGACTTTGGGGGCTCAGTCCCCAGTGCTCCGATGCAGGTCTCTGCCTCTGTTTACACCAGTTGCTGGATGAAGGTTCTATGGTGATTTTTAAGATATTCATCAGTCTGACTGAAGGGCAAGGCCAGTTCAGGAACCCTCTCCTCTATTTCTTAGGCTCTTAGCTGGGGTCATCTTTGTGGATTCCTGGGAATTTCTTTGGTGCCAGATTTCTTGCCAGCCCCATAATGGCTCCCTCAATCAAAATATCTCTTTCCTTGCTCTCATCTCTGTCCTTCCTCCATCTCAAATATCCTGTTCCCTCGGGTTTTTCTCTCCCTCCCCTTCTCCCCTTATTTTCCCTTTCTGCCCTCCTTCTCCTCCCCCACCCCCCACCCCATGATCCCAATTTTCTCAGGCGATCTTGTCTATTTCCCCTTTTCAGATATGTTTTTCTTAGGGTTCACTTTGTTACTTAGCTTCTCTAGGATCATGAACTATAGGCTCAATAGCCTTTACTTTACAGCTAGTGTCCACTTATGAATGAGTACATACTATGTTCATCTTTCTGGTTCTGAGTTACCTCACTCATGATTTTTTTTTCTAGTTCCATCCATCTGCATGCAGATTTCAAGATGTCATTTTTTTTTTCACCTCTAAGTAGTACTCTAATGTGTAAATGTGCTATTTTCTTTATCCATTCTTCGGTTGAGGGGCATCTAGGTTGTTTCTATATTCTGGCTATTACAAATAATGCTTGTAGCATTCATTATTAATGAAGCTATTACAGAAAGATGCACAGGGACCTCTATGTGATGGCTGTCACTGGTAGGTTCTTTGACAGTTAGTCTGATGGTAGCAAAGTAAAAAATTATTATGTATTGTACATAGTGAATATTTCAATTACAAAAGGGAGCTAGGCAAGTATGGTGCTGGGCAGCAAAGTGTGCACCCATGAGACAGTCCTTCCCTAATGCATAGGCACAACAAGCAGCTGTGAAGAGGTGCAAGTGGCTCTTTGTCTATTGAGATCTAGTAACTAGCCAGATTGTACTGTTGTGGGTCCCGTAATGTTCCGAATTTCCCGAAAGCAACCCAGAACTGCCCTGTCTATATCGTATGTGAGTGGGAACATGGATCAAAGCTCCAGCAGCATAGTTAGATGGTGATGTTGTAAACAGTGCTCTGAGAAGTGATATTCGAGGCTGTGTATGCACCTGCCAGGTGGTGAATGTTTGACTGGAAAGTCACAGAGGATAAGAATGAAGAGAGCTTAGATTTCCTAGAAGTGTTCTCTTCCTGTTAGAGAAAAGAAGGGAAGGAAGGAGGGAGGGAGGAAAGAGTGGGAGGGATAGAGGGGAGGGGTAGAGGGAGGGAGGGAGGAAATGAAGGGCGGGAGAGGTAGAGGGAGGGAGGGAGGAAGGAAGAAAAAGACTTTGACAAACAAAATACCCATGGTCAACTTTCTATAATTTTGTTTTTTCTCTTTTTCTTTTTTATTGTTTATACTGGGAAGTGAATGCAGGGCCTCACACAAGCTATTTAGGCAGCACTTTTTCCATTTTCTTGTTTTGAGATATCATCTCAGTAAGTTGCTCAGGCTAGCCTTGAACTTGAGATGTTCCTGCTTCATCCCAGAGGTAGACTGGATTATAGGCTTGTGCAACCAGCACTAGCTTTTTTTTTTCTTAAGACCTTTGAAAGCAAGTAAAAATAGAAGAACTTCATGAGAATATAGCAATTGTGTCCATAATCTGATTTTGATTTAAAATGTTGAAATTATTTGGATGACTTAATGTAGGAAAATATAATTTGATACTCTTATTTATCCCAGGTTTTGTTTTTGTTTTTGTGACAGGATCTATTTGTGTAGCCCTGGCTGTACTGGAGCTCAGTATTAGACCTATGCTGACCTAGAACTCATAGAGATCTGCTTGTCTCTGCCTCCCAAGTACTAGGACTAAAGGTGTGCACCACCAAGCCCAGCTCCTTGTGTTGTTCTGTGTACACTGTGTTATTGGCTGGGCGTGGTAGCACACAGGTAGTCCCAGTGTTCCTGTACCCAAAGCCTTGGACTCTGAGGTCAGAGGGTTGCATGTGTAAGGCCACACGATGATACCCTGATTTTGAGGGGGTTAAGAAGTACATTGTATTTGAGATTTAATTATTCATTTATCTAAGATGTAAGCTTACCACTGTAGGTCTCAGGAAGTCCATGCATCCAGAATGAGTTCAAACTGGACTATAGGAGAATTTTAGTAGTCTAAAAAGCTGGCGTTCCTCAGGAACTTGTGACACGGGTTCCCATCTGCCAAGAGTAGTCATTTCCCTCAGGTCTGTCAGAAGGGACCCATGGCTGTGTTGTCATGCACACACGGTTGGATGTCAAGGCCCATGCTGGGCCTGCAGGCTCCCGCACTGTCTGCTCCCCTGCTGTACGTGTCAGAGACCACACTAGCACCCTGGACCTCCTCCCTTAGCTTCTCTTCTCTACGCTCTGTTGGGCTCTGCCGCTGTTCTAGACTTTCTCATGCTGTTCTTGCCCCTCTCACAGATATCCCTGGCCAAGCCCAGTGCTTTTCTCTCTCACCTACAGTTAAAGCCATGGAGTGGGTGATTGGGAGTTTCTTTGATCGCCCCTCTCATACAATCACAGTAAGCCTTTCTTTTAAACTGATTTATTTTAGAGTATACTGACTACACCTTCCCTGTGAACTCAGCAAATTTTATCATCTTTAAAACTATTATTTTTGTGCACTGTACCTGGTATTGTAGATACTTAACTACCCTCAATCTGCACATTCTGCATGGCAAACCAGAACCATGGACATCTTCCTCCTTACACACATGGGAACCAACTGCAAACGAATGTATGACATCTTCCCCCTTACACATGTGGGAACCAACTGCAAACCAGTACCATGGGCATCATCCTCTTTACACATGTGGGAACCAACTGAGGGAAAGTAACCATGACAACACACTCTTGACAAGTAGCAGAGGTAGAGCTTCCAGGGCTCTGAGCTGTCTTAGCTAGTTCCTGAGAGCATGTATTCTGGAGTTCTACCCTTATGCACCTGTTGCTGTGTTTTCCTTGTCCTAAAGGGTGGCTATGGCAGCTTACAAAAATAGATAACTATTACAAGATTTTAAAAAATATAATGTAAGTATGAGAGCTGGACTGAGACGAGGCACATAGGCAGTGTTCTGTGCTGTCTGTGGTTGGATAACGTGTGTTGCTTGTAACATGTGCATTTATTCTTCTAGGCCTGGGTGCAGCATGCCTGAAATCTGGGATGTGGAGGATCCAGCCAATGCTGGGAAGACACCCCTGTGTAACATCCTGGGGAAGGATTCCAAGCCTCACTTCACCACAGTGTTCCAGAACAGCGTTTACAAAGTCCTAGAAGTTATCAAAGAATGACTGCGACATGCGCCGGCTACAGAGATCGCATCAGTAATGGCTTTACTGCTTTGCCACTAAGTCGTGTATCATTTTAACTCAGATTACAAAACCTTTACAAGTCTTTTAAAGTAACTGTTTTCAAATGGAAAACATTTTATTTGGTCAATTTGTCATTCTGATTGTAAAATGACTTACACCAGATCAATTAGTTACTGTTTCAGTGCACCTGTTAAAATTTGCTATGCAAATGAGTATATGCTTGTACTTCATTTAAATATTTGTGTTACAGTGAACAAAGCCATCTGTGTAGAAATGTGTCATGGGTCATGACAAAGATGATCTGAAAATGTAGTTCCTTCTGAACTGGGAGGGCCTGCTTTTCCGTGCAGGGCTGTCACAGCCTCGCTTCTTACCTCCTTGTCTTACCTTTGGACACTTGGGTGATTCTGTACCCCAGTCTTGTCAACCCATCTCAGCTCTTAGTCCGGGTGTCAGTGGCCTGTGGATCACCTGTTCCTCTCACTTCTGGGTGCTCTTTTTGTTCCATGTGGCACTTGTGAATCAAGTGTTTCCTGCCCATTGTTGCCCAGACTCCTGGGTATGATGGGAGGAATAGCTCCTTTAGTTCCCAGACACATGGCATCTGCCTCTTCCCACATCGGCTTTTGCTTTCAAATAAATGCTATCTTGTCTTTAGGTTGATTAGCAAGTGCTTATTCTTGGTTAAAAAATTAGTAAATGTGTATTTTTCTCATTTTTAGTATTAATCAGATATTATATTTTAATATCTTTAATTCACTTAAAATTTTTTCATGATTAATTGCAGTTGTAAGAAAGGCTATTTTGGACAACTCCAAATATGATGCTTCTAGAGCCTAATATATATAGAGACATAGCTATGGTAGACTATAGTATATGGTAGTTTTTCTTTTGCTATTAAGATAAAACAAAACATAACTAACTTTTCTGTCAAAATGTAAATGAATAATGATAAATGAAGAGTTTTTCTATTTTGCTTTCAAAATTGCCTGCCTTTGATAAGACAAAGCCTTAAGCCTTATAATTTGCCTAAAATAAAAGATTCAGTTTGAGAAATGAGTATGTTCAGTCTTCCCCATTTTTCTTCCTTTCTTTTTTTTTTTTTTGAAAAATTTCCAAACATGCTTTGAATTTTTACACAGATTTTGTTTCTTAGAAGTTAATTTGTGTGAAATGAGATTCTTCAAAACCATGGATCTTCACTGTTGTAAGAAATGGTTTTCAGGTTTTAAATTCTAAGCAAATTGTGACCATGGCTGACTACACATTTAATTACAGTCTTCTCTTTATTAACCACAGGCTGATTAACCTCAGTGTGGATTGTCCTTGAGACCTGAGTCCTCAGGGATGGTTTCCGGTGCCCACTCCTGGCAGCCGCAGAAGAGCTGTTCTCTTCCTGCCTTCTTACCAGAGGCCAAGGACAAGATTGTCTGGGGGAAGCACTAGCTTGCTCCTGTTGGTCACCTGCAAAGACAACACGTGAGACTGAGGAGTGTGGCCTCAGTGTCCCCAGAGCCACCTCGCCTCCCAGGTTGTCCCGCCCTGGAGCTGCCCAGGGACTGTCATTCCTAGTGTTGCACACTGTGACTCTGCTTCCTCATGTGGCGCTCAGTTTTTTATTTCATAAGCTTTTACCAACTCAGAAAATAGGGAGGCAGCTGGAGATAGGTGGGTTAGGAGTGTTTCCTTGATGGTGCAGGATTGCGAGGAAGTGGAAAGAGGGCTCCTGAGGTTGGGGAGAAAGAGTAGGCGTGGGTGTGAGGGCGGCATGCACAACCTGCTTGTCTGTACTCTGTCTGCACCCTGATGTGACTGGTGTGTATATACAGCAGTTAGGATTTTTTTAAAATCACCTTTTTGAAGTTCTTTTTTATCCTTACCCTCTAACAAGTCCCTTCATAATAAGTTCATGTGTAATGATTGGAAATTCTGTACAGAGAAACAAAACATTAAAATACTATTAGAACCAGCTCACATGCTGGGAAACATTAAAAGCAGTCTAAATTAGTTTTCTGCAGAAGCCTTTTGTAACAGTATTTCTTAATGTAACTCCACCAGCAAGCTCTGCTTGTATTTTAGGCAAGTCAGCTTGGAACAGAGGCCTTGGGGGTCCACTGCATATTTAGCCTCCAGCACTTCCAGTAGCAGCCGGTGCTCTGCGACTTAAGCACTTTTATGGCGACATGGAACAGTAATAGATTCTGTGTAGCTGACAATGCAGCATTAAAGCTCAGTATTTTGCATATTTTTAGCATTTACAAATATTTTTGCTTTAGTGTGAGGAAAGTAAGGAAAGACAGGAGGCAATTGAAATAGTTATTATTGTGACATTTTTTAAAAAGCTGGGTAATACTTCCATAAAAAGATAAGCCTCTAAAATGCCTGACAGAAAATGTGTGCTGTTAAAGTAGGCCAATAGCATTAAGGAGAAAATCAAAGGATGTGTCCAAAATGAAGTGATGACTGCATAGGAGTATTGTATTTTTATGAATTTTATGCCCCTTGTTTACATGTATTATATATGTTAAATAAAAAATACATGAAAAATGTGCAAAATGCTTTCTTTGCCTGCTGCTTTCCTTTGCACCCCGACTGTGACCATGCACATTTTCATTTCAGATGGCCCTGGACTGCTCTCCATCATCTCGTAGACCTCGCTGAAAGGGGAAGGAAAGTCACCAAGGGGCCCATTGCTGATGCTGGGTGCTAGAATCATCCATAATTTTATCATGAATGTGGTCAAAGCAACATATATTCCATTGTCTTTTTCAGCAAGGGACATACGTGTTGGTATAATTACAGAGTTGTTGATAGCTTTTCCCACACATTACACCACAGATAGTTTGGTATAAAAGTTCCTCAAATTATAGTCCATATATTTGTGCATTGTTGTTTATCCTACTTGGAGGGAAGGCAGTTTAGTTGTGTTCACTCATATAGAGCTGACTTCCTAACACAGTTGTTCTTTGATTCTGACATCTTGTGGAGAGTGATGTTCTCGTATGATAATTTTCAAGCTAGAAGTGACTCTTCCACAGAAGTTTTTCACTTGGTTGGTCTAAGATGGGGACCCCAGGATTTGCATTTTATTAGCATATGGTAGTTATATATGATGGCTTTCATTGTGACATTTTCGTACATGAATATGTTAGGGTCACTTTCACCCCTCCGTTGCCTTCCGTTGCCCCCTCCCGTGCTCACTTCTTATTCCCAAAGTATCCTTTTCTACTTTTGTGTCTTTTATGTGTGTGTGACCCAGTGTATTTATATAGGGTTGTTTATAGGTTCAGAAGAGCAGGGGCAGTTTACCAGAGGCTAAAGACGGAAAAAACAGTTCTTGTCAGACTATTAACTGCCTGAAGATCTTCAGGGATGAGTGTGACCTCATGAGCCCCTTCCCCTGGCAAATGTCCATTACCTAGAAGCAATCAGGGAGAGGTGGGCCCTCTCGACTCTCTGACAAATGATGGCCCCAGTCTTACCTGGGTTTTAACAGTGATCACATGCCAAGAGTTGAAGAGAGCAATGCTCTTGCTAAGCCCAGAAGACTCTTCCACATTGTACCCGCCCTCTGTCACTTACATTCTTTGTTCCCCTTCCTGTTTCACATGTTACTGAACCTGGAAGTGGGGGGACATAGATGTCATGTTCATGGCTTAGCATTCATTGGTCATTTATTCTTAGCACCTACCAGTTCTGAATGTCTGTAGGAACTGCAAACCAGTGCAAAAGGAAACTTTGCTGACCACTGCATTACGCTCTGGGCATAATCATATTCAGAAGAATGACAGCTACCTGATCTTTTAGCAAGAGCTTCCCCACAAAAGCCTACGTCCTTCCCAGCCATGGCTTCCCCACAAAAGCCTACGTCCTTCCCAGCCATGGCTTCCCCACAAAAGCCTACGTCCTTCCCAGCCATGGCTTTTGACTAGGTCTGCAGTTGCAGGCATGTGAAATAGGCCTCAAGTCTCCTCAGAAAGCAGTTATCCTCAACAGCCATGGCACTATTGCACCACTGCATATCTTGGCCGGAAGGTCAGCACTGTACGGGATCTGTGGATGTGCACAGGAGCATGGACCATTCCCTGCCAACAGCTTGCTCGGTGCCTTCCAGCATCATGAAATCTTGCCTGCAGGAGAAGGCTTCTAGCTCAATTGCAACTTGATTTCTACATGCCTTTCAACCGAAGTATGTATTGTGTGCAGTAACGGGGTCTTACCATCTAGCTACGGTCTACAGCCAGCATTGGGGCAGTTGACTTATATTGGGTACATCAGAAGTCTTGCTGGCCAACAACCTGTTGGGAGGAAGCTCACCCTTGCTCCTGGGATTTTCATATCTGACATTTTCACACATGTATACTATGTGTTTTGTCATATTTACCCTGCATTTTGTCATCTTTACCCTGATCCCACTTCTTCCTCTCCCATTCAGTTGTCCGGTTCTTTATCAAGTGTTTGTCATTGGGACTCAGAGTTCCATTGCATTGCATTCAGGAGCATGTATAACTTAATCCATGGCTAGATCATCGAAGAAAATTGTCTACTTCCTGCCAGCAACCAGTAACTATAATCTCAAGGGAAGATGGCTTTATGATTCCCTCTCGTGGCAGTGTTGATGGGTAATATTTCTTTCACACTGCTGATTGGAGTTTAGGAATGCAATGTTCCAAAACTGCATCCCTTCCTCCAGCTCTTGGGTTCTTCCTGGGCCCTCTGTGATGGTCTACGGGACAACTTGTGCCATTTAACACATTGACCAGTCTTGAGTCTCCAGAGCAACCATCACCTATTACAGATCTACGCTTTCCTGACCAACACTTACAAACACTGATCATTTTAGCTGCTATGATCGCAATACCTGACAAAGGCAATTTAAAGGAGAAATGTGTTCTGGTTTATAAGTCTATGTTATAGTCCACCATGGCAGGAAAGTCACAGCAGCTGGTCACATTGCATCCACTGTTGAGAAGCAGAGAGGAACCAGTGCATGCTTAGCTTCCTGTCTCCACTTCGTACTGCCGACGAAGTTCTCCCTGCCGAAAGAATCGGTCCAGCTCACAATTAAAATGGGTTTTCTCACATCAGTTAACACAAAATCAAGGTAATCCCACAGGCATGCCCAGATGCTTATCTCCCCAGTAATTGTAGGTTGCATCAAATTAACAGTTACGACTAATCATCACAATGGGCATAATCCAAAATATTTAGGCAATCTAATAACCTTATGGCTTCTGGGAGCAGCTTAATTCACTCGCACAAGGTATCACTGCTTAAACACTTCATTTTTTATTAGCTTATAAAGTTGTGGGTTTCTTACAGATTTTTCTCCATAGTTTGTTTGACCCCTTATTTACATTTTCCACCAGTTAGGTCAGGCTGATTTTGTCCAGGGCCCCATGCTTGAGAATGTCTTTGCTCGTGGATGGGAATAGACTAGCTGGATGGCTGACGCTGGATGGCACTCCTATTCCTGTTCACTTACACCAAGACCAGTCCCTTATATCCAGAGCTAACTTTCTTTGTCCCTCTGACACTTAGGGACTTTGATTTAATGGGCGCAAATAAGGTAAATTTGTAACAGCACTGATAGGAGGTATGCATCATGTAAGGATTTTGAAGCTGTAAACCGAGACTTCCCTTTTACTTTGGAAATGGAAGATGAATGAAAATCTCTTGAAATGGAACTGGCCTTTGTAACATTCCTTTGTCTAAGAGAACAACAGATAAATTCAGTGATGTATGGGGATTTGAAAGTTTTGGTTTTTTCACTTTATTACTTTTTTTTTGCCTTGGAAAGCTTCAGTCTTCTCCCCTATATGAAGGTCATTGTGAATCAGTACTAGGTCATCAACCCCCTGCTCCTACCTTCTATATTCTTGGGCCCAACTAGATGTTCCTCATGTAAACTAATTCTCAGTGCAAAAAGCATGGAGCTGCCTTTGAGCTCCATTGTGTTTGCAAATTAATCCACAGTGCTGTGTCAGGACAAGTGTGTTTTCACTGGCCAGGGTAGAGGAGGTACTGGAAGGTCCTAGAAACTTAACTTTTATATTTCCTCCCATGAATTCCAGATAGGGCAGCTGAGAAGTCCCTCCCCCTCCCTTTCTTCCTATCTCCCTCCCTCCCTCCCTTCCTCTCGCCTTTCCTCCCTCCCTTCTTTTCTCTTTTCTTTCCTTCTTTCCCTCTGTCTATTTTAAAGAACTTTAGAAAGCGATTCTGACACTGGCTTGACTTTCAAAGCATTTTTTTTAATGCTCAATTATCCCTAACTACAAACTAATTACACACAATGTTGTTAAATGACTTTCAAATAAATGGCAATGGAGCCTGGTGTTCTGTTAGGGAAGGCATGCTGTTTAAAATACAATATATCAATGTTTTATCAATGTTTTAGGCACCTAGGTATGTTTTTCTTTTGTGGTATGCAAATTTAATTCTTGGGGGAAAATGTTTAATTTAACAAATTAACCACATTTATTTGTTATGCTAACTTTTCACCAACTTTAATCCTTGTGAAGTTATTTTTAAGAAGAAATGAACCTTCTGAGAAGATGCCTGGGAACACCCTTTGGTGATGCTTTACTGATGTCCTGTGTGGCCTGGCCCCTGGTGTTCTTCAGTTTTCCACTCCTGGTGTCTGCTTATTGATAGCCTCCCTCTGGTCCAGGAAAACCATCTTCCTGGGTTCAGTTTGAATGCAGTTCACATTGCTGATGATTTGGGCTTTTCCTAGTATATACTCCTGTAACAAATTCTCAAATTTTGAAATGCTGCAGTATCCCAGAAAGTTACAGACTGAGATTTGGAATTGTTTTAAAGCCCTCAGAAGACCTAATGTCTGTGTTCACATTTTTTTTTGAGACAGCCTTATTATGTAGCTGTGGCTGCCTTTGAACTTGCTATGTAGACCAAGCTGTCTGCCTCTGCCTTCTGGGTACTGGAATTCGAAACATGGGATATGTGTTAGTTCATATTTGCTAGAGTAACAAAAATTTAAAAATTAATTTTTTTTATTTTATTTAATTTACTTATTTATTTATTTATATAAATTTCCACTTCCTCCCCTCCTCCCAATACCCTCCCACTCCCCCTACTCCCTCTCCTCCTCCCTCTCCAGTCCTAAGAGCAATCAGGGTTTCTTGCCCTGTGGGAAGTTTAAGTTCCTTTCCCCTCCCTCCAGGTCTAGGACGGTGAGCTCCAAACAGACTAGGATCCCAAAAAGCCAGTACATGCAGACGAAGCAAGACCCAGTGCCATTATCAATGGCTTCTCAGTCAGCCCCCATGTCAGCCACATTCAGAGAATCCGGTTTGATCACATGCTCGCTCAGTCCCAGTCCAGCTGGCCTTGGTGAGCTCTCATTAGATCAGTCCCCTTGTATCAGTGGGTGAATGCACCCCTCGAAGTCCTGACTTCCTTTTTCATGTTCTCCCTTCTTCTGCTCCTCATTTGGACCTTGGGGGCTCAGTCCAATGCTCTAATGTGGGTCTCTGTCTCTATCTCCATCCATCGTCGGATGAAGGTTCCCTCTGATCCTGCCTTCCTTGCTCATG